GTTGTTGGCACCACCAGCTTGGCCTTGGGCTTGCTCAGCAGAAGCCGCGTTAGCATTACCAGCGTTGGCGTTTCCAGCGTTGGCGTTTCCAGCATTAGCATTACCAGCATTAGCATTACCAGCATTGGCGTTACCAGCGTTAGCTGCCTGTCCTTGCTGGGCAGCAGCGTTATTGGCACCGCCGGCTTGACCTTGGGCTTGCTCAGCAGAGGCAGCATCGGCATTTCCAGCATTAGCTGCCTGGTTTTGCTGACCATAGGCTGCATTAGCATTACCAGCCTGTGCCTGGCCTTGCTGAGCAGCACCAGCATTCGCGTTTCCTGCTCCTTTCTGGGCAGAAGCCGCGTTAGCAGTACCAGCCTGTCCCTGCTGTGCAGCAGCAGCACCACCGGCATTTTGCTGTCCAGCAGCTGGGAAGCGTTAGAATATAACTTCAAGTTCAGAATAAACAAGACATACCTTGGGCATCATTTCCTGCGAACCCATTGATCTCAATATCATCCTCCTCAGCGGCGTTTTCATTACCGGCATTTCCCTGGGCCTGCTCATCCTCACCCTCAATCTGAGCCTGTCCATTACCCGCAGCAGCATTTCCAGCTCCAGCAGCCTCAGTGCCATTGTTAGCTGCACCGTTCTCGGCACCAGCACCAGCACCGGCACCGGCATTCTGGTTGTTGCCAGACTCCTCCTGAGCGTTGCCTGAATCCTCCTGAGCGTTACCAGAACCCTCCTGAGCATTGCCAGAATCCGCCTGAGCGTTTTCCTCGTTGCCACCGCCGCCGCCAGTCAGTCCTCCGAGAAGATCACCAAGGCCGCCACCACCTAGGCTGCCGAGGAGACCATCGAGCTGACGCTTGGTCTTAATCTTCTCGCCTGTGAGCCGGCGGACAGTGGAAATGAAGTGTGCGGGGAGTTGCTGGGCTGCGGTTCCGTCCTAGATAGTTGTTAGTTATAATGGCCCATATCATATTACCGATTGTCATTTAGAGGAAATAAAAGGTAGACGCACAGGAAAGCGCTTCTCAAGAGCAACATTGTTGGGCCTAGCCGCCGGAGCAGCAGCGGCGGAAGCAGCCAAAGAGGCAAGAAGAATGCTAGTGTCGAACTTCATGATGGCGTTTGTGGAATATAGCGTATCGTGGTAGATTTATCAAAAAGATAGTCGTGTTAAAAAAAAAAGAGACTGTCCGGCAGCGGTGTATGAAAGTAGTCTGTGTAGGAACAGTAAAGACGAAGCTGGCTAGCAGCAGAATGTACAATGCTGGTGGTATATATATGAATATGTGTGAACGGTGCTTGCAACCGCCTAACTGAACGAGTATCGAATACTTGACTTGATAACAAAAAAGCAATTGTCGACTTTCTAGCTGCCTTCTATATATTCGTTCTTCTCTTGCACTGGAGCAAGGGTCCGCCATCGGGCATGGCACGTCCGGTATCAAAATGTTGACGCGTTCAAACTGGTTATTCCATTACTCCATCCTTGGCCTGCCGTGTTGGTAGCGATCCCGATTGCGAGGCTATCATATTGCGCGCGCAAGGGTGGACAGACCCTCAGGCGGGTGCAGGTGGTGCAAGGCATGCGCAATGCGGAGAGTCTGTGACTACGAGGCCTTGAGGGCGAAACGCTCATTACGTGGGTGGGCCCACTATGTGGATAGAACGATGACTATCTTTACGGTACCTGTACATGCCTGTACGATGAGCGAGTTGATAATTTTGCTGTCGCAATATTCCAATTGCATGCTGTAAAGTGTTCGAAAACATCAATTGAATCCTCACATCATCGGGTTGGTACTGGGCGATTACTCCTTCGCAACTAACGTCTATACACACCGTTTGTCAACGGGCGAGTCTATCCTTACCCAAAAAACGACTTTCGCATACAAATGGTGTAGCTGTTTCTGTCGCAGCCCCCATGAAACGGGCAGACGCGCCGCGGCGCCATACATGCCCGAGAAAGGGAGGAAAAAAAACGCGCGTTTTGGTTTTGAAACCCAGGCACGAGAGCGATTGCGCCTTGACCCTGCGACTGCTCATGTAGGAAGAGCTTATCGACAAGCTGTCGAGTGTTTCGAGATTTGTTCTCGCGTGCGTAATGGCTATGGGAAAAATGGGGGGACGGGGAAGGCGAGTGTGGGTCCGTCAACGGCGGAAGACTTGGCGCGACGCTAATACGTCAAGATAGGGATAGGGGCATGCCAACTTCAACGCTCTCTGGTTTACACAATAGTTGTTGCAGCAATGTTCATCATTTGGCATATCATTGCGCTTTTGCGCATACACAAGGGTATATTGAAACAACATTGACACAGAAATGGCCTGTATACAACGCATCTTTTCCAGATCCAGGCTCAACTTCATCTTCTTCTCGCCAAACCTGTGACGTACAACTCACCAGGCTCAGCCTCAACCTTCCAACCCTCGTTTACCAATGTCTTCAACACCGCAGGCCCCAGTTTACCTCGGCCGCCTTCGCTGTGTCTACCCAAGCCTGTGATGATCCTGAAGACATCGCCTCCGCCTCTACGACCAGGACCGCTCCACTCAGGAATCCTGCGCTCCCCGAGGCCGTCCCACCAAGCCTGTGTGCGTTGCTTTGCTATCCTAGTCGCGTCCGCAACAGTCACGCCGTGCAGGTCGAGGTGCGTAGGTCCTGATTGTGATGAAACCAACGAATCGGCTTCAGCTGCGTTCATAACTTTCAGATTGGCGTTGAGGTCACGGCCCTCTTGCGCATAATAAGCTGCAGCTTGCCTCATGAGTGGTGTTGATTTGCCTCTGCGGTAAGCGCCAGATGCTTTTGTAAACGCATCGTTTCGAGCAGCAGCGGTGGAGACGGCGTCGCGGGGCCTGGCAGAAGGCGCAAGGACAGGCAGTTTGGTTACTTCCGAAGGATCAGACAGATCGACTGGAGCATATCGCAAGTCAAGTTTGATGCCACCTTTGCCGCCCGTTTCGCTTGCCGGTTGTTGGGTGAGGGCTTTTGCAAGTTCTTTAGCTTTGCTGGTCGACGGGGCAGCCAGGCGCACGACTGCAATGGCATGCTCCAAATCGATCGAAGGAAAACTCTCGTTTAGGGTGATTGCGTCTTGTACTAGCGCAGCATTTGGCTGCCCTTCCTTTTTGTGCGCTTCAATGTCTCTTCTCACAATTGCCAACACAGTCGCTGACAATGATGCACCGTTCGCATGATAGAGCGACGAGACAGTCTTTGGTGGAACGCTCGTGCGCGACGTGACAAAATCCACGTCACGGCTTGTGTTCTGCCAGCGGTTTGTCGGCGCATCTGATTCAACAAAATAATCAGCCCCAACGTTATTCAAAGACACTTTTTGCCTTTTCTTTGCCTTGCCCTTTTTTCCCTTTTGTGGTATGTGATGGTCTTCAGAAAAGGCTTCAATACCCTTGGCAATAGGTCCATCCTCTGTAGGGCTCTTCCTGCTATCATCGAAGAAGACATGATTGAGTAGCTCGTCTGTTGCTTTGTCGTAATCGTAGCCGCATTTTTTCAGCGTGTGCGTCACCTGGGCGAGCCGCAAGCCGGGGAACGTCTCGGCGAGCAGCAGTTCCTTGGTAGGAACATCAAACTGTTCCGTATCTTTGTAATATCCACTCTCGAATGATTCCTGTGGGCTTCCCGAACCCCCATTTACACTAAGCGAAGCAAAGTCGTTTGAAAGGGATGAGTGCTCTGTCGTTACCGTCTGGGTACCCCATGAATCAGCGTCGGTGCTGCTCTTGTCTGGACTGTCTTGCACGGCGCCCCCACTGCTACCAGAGGGGTCAAAATTCAGTGCTTCCACTTCAGCTGTGGCCTTCAGGGTCTCCAATAGTTCTCTGGTGCGAGCAACGGCATCTGGTTCCCCTGCATAGTCCGAATAAATGGTATAGAGAAGCGTAGGATCTATTGGCGGGCAATATTCCTCCTGTAAAACGCGTCCGTGTTAGTGGATGCGCGTGTTGAGTCAGTTCTCCTTGCCCACATACCTCAAGCATACGCAGGTCCTCATCCATTTTGTTTGTTGCAGTGTTGACGTCTTCTGGTGTGTCGATATGGCGAGAGCATACTCCGAGCTGGGTGGCCGATGCTGGGGAGTTGTGACTGAGGCAGTGTCGCGCAGCAGTCTCTTATTGTAAGTTCCGCGATCAGTGCGATACGATGGTATGCAGTGTGACTGTGCGGCGCAAAAGGCAGTAATGCGTAGTGGTGGGGTGGTTGCGTTGGCGCGTGATGGCAGTTCAGCCGTGGCTGGGAGAATTGTAGCCGAGCTTAGCGCAGACAGGAGCTTATTGATCCCAGCATCTTTAATGTCCACATACCATTGAGGGCAAGAAGAGGTGGTGTTGGGTAGGATATCGAGCATAAGATATATTTTTGATCTACACGGCCAGCTAGATGCCGCACGTCATCTTCAATTAGGCCGAATCGCGCGTCATCCATTGGCGCTAGCGCAAGCGGCTTTGAGGCTTCTATCCACCACCCTTAGGTATCGTCACGTGTACTTGTTATCGCAAATCTACCTTTATACGCAATTGGTGGTTTCAGTGTAAGCCACTTGTTATGCAAATATGAATTTGGTTAGGACAGTTGTAGACCCCTGGTAGGCGTGATGGCACACACACGGGACACCTCCACATCATCATCCTCGTGGCCTGCTCGTCAAGGCTATCTTTCTATGATCCGCACCCAAATTCCCTCATTTTACTGTTCTATTCTCGGCCCTACTTTCAAGCCTCTTGAATATCATATCCATTCAAGCAAGCCTGGCAAATACAATAGGCAGATGAACATTCAGGCCCCCAACAACCCGCAGACGCTCCACTACATCCTGCCAATGGCTGCGTCAGGCCAAGTTCGTGGCTTGAACGCATTGCATAGCCACTCTGAGCCAATGGCATGTTTAAATACACCAAACCCCCAGGTTCCTGATACGCGGTACAATGTACATTAGCAACCCGACACCAGCTTGAAAACGTGACAAGCTATACCGCGAAACATGGCGCCCCTTCACCGCCGCACATATCTGGAACCCGCTGTTATCGGAAGCATCGTTGGCCTCGGCTGTCTAGTAATAGTAGGAGCATTCTGCACGGTCATCTTCTGTGTAATGTGCAGAAAACAACGACAGCGCAAAAAGGCCCTACGCAAAATGCAGGAAGACCAGTTGACACCGTTTGTGGGATACCAATATACGGCGCCAGCAGGTGCGCAAAGCAACCCCCAAGGAGCGTTGCTACGTCCACAGCAACTCGAAATCCAAGAGCAATATAGTGGACCTCAGGAATTGCAAGGGAGTGGGAGACTGGGTCCTCTGCCTCCCCAGCAAATTGACGGATACGTCGCAGCGGTTCGTTCTTTCATCTCAAGTAAGATTAGTTGGGAATACGGTTGAACTAACTTGCTACAGCCGACTTTTGACGACGACAGGCCACTCGAACTGCCTGCTGGCGTTGCATATCACGGCATAGACGCCAAACGTGGAATATACAGATGAAAAGCGCCATCTTCCATTGCCACCAAGCCTCTCAACCAAAGCCCCAATCCACAGTATCAACGGTGACCCTGTTTCAACCATGAAAGCCACGCACCACCATACATGGCTGCATGTCCAAAAACGCCTCTCGATATGATACGAACAACGTCACGCAGGAAAATCCACAATCCATTGACACCAACAAAGAACTGCTTCACAACCCGCCACGTCAATCCCCCCCACAAAACCTCCTTCATCCACCCTCTTCCTCTTTCTCCCATCTTTCCTCTACCATCCAAAATGAACACAACAACTACAGCTCTCAAACAAATTGTTTCCCTTCCTTTCTCCCTCCTCGCAGCCCTACCGCGACCCACCTTCTCCTATGTACCCACCGCGCACATCAAGCTCAAGGCCGACAGTATAGCCATGGTGGTACTCGTACTTGCGCGGCATGTGTGGATGTATGTGCAAGGGTGGCGGGATAGTGGGTTACGCAGGAGAAAGGGTGGGAAGGGAGGTGGAGTGGGGAATGGCAAGGGGAAGAAGGGCAGGGGACGGGGGAAAGCGAGGGGTAAGGGGAAGGATGTGAGAGGAGGGAGGAGAGCGGGGACAGTGGTTAAGGGGAGATATACGCTTGTTTTGCGGTAGGAAAAGGAGGATATGGAAAGATGGGATCCCCCTGTTTGGATATGTGGAAGATTTAGTGGTAGAGGTATCTAATTGGTATTTTTATTTTGCTTTATCTACATGTATTTCTAGGCATAAGAATGATTCTAATCGAGGTTGATTATGACAAGTACTTCCTCCGCTTTGTTGAGTTTCATGAACTAAAAAGAAGAAAATGGACATTGAAGTTAGTCGGTAGTTCGCAAGTGAGGAATAGACTATCCGACTCTACGCTGCCGGTGACTTTGGTTTGCTGTAAGAGATGCCTCGAATAATCCTGGGATGTGTGACAGATGAATGTCTGGGCAAGTTCAACAACCCTTTCTCCCCTGTACGGTCGGTTCGCAACCTATAATAGACCGATTTGACACACCGAATAGCCAGGCATACAAAGTGTGATCGCGTGCGCTGATTTTATCGTTGTCGCCTGGACGTGGGGTACTTTCTTGGCTACGATTGTCATCCCTGGAATCGCTACTGACGTGGCCTCGCGTGATAAGAGCCGTTTGAATTCCTTAGAATATCGATCTGACAACCTCTCGATATCGAGAAACGACACCATGGTAGCACGATTGGTCTTTACAATTATATACCATGGCATTACCAAGGACTTTGGGTCGAATCTGATGCGATCTGAAGCGTGCATAATGACGAAGAATTGCGTAGTTGATACAGCGAGGCTCTTGTTGAAAAGCATGCGGTCAAGTGCGATCAGGTATTCCAGGGTCATGCGGCGCACACGTCTAGGCGGATATTGGTGAAGATCGAATTTCTTCCAAAATTATTCGCTGTTCTTATCCGAATCGTCATCTGAATTCTCATCTGAATCGTTTTCTGAATCGTTATTTGAGTCGTCATCTGAATTCTCGTCTGAATCGTCACCCATGGCCCCGATGATGTCTAGCTGAAGTCCCGCTGCCTTGCACGCATCCTTGATTTCTCGAGAAACTCCATTCTCCCCTTCGACTACTATAAATCTCTTCCAGTTCCGCGCAACAACGTCTTTTTGCTCAATCGTAGCCAGCAAAAGATCCGTGACTTCGTTGTCGCTTCCCAGATCGTTGAAGAACTCGAGCGTTTCCATGACCGGCGGTAACCCTACTGAATGAAGCCTTGGTCGTTTAGACGATTTCCCAAAAAGTTGATAGTCCCAATTCAGACGCAGGGTCTCCAGTGCTGCAAACTCTCTCATTCGTAATACCTTGCGTCCAGTAAGTGTAGGGTGGTCGATTGTAATGCTCTTTAGAAACTCGGCCTGCGACTGTGCAGCCAAGATGTAGTCACCAACGTTATCGGAACTCTCCTCCAACTCTGGCTCTGGCTCTTCTGTCTGCGTCATAACAAATTCCTCAAGCGCCTCGGGCAGTTCAAGGAGATCGCCAAGCGAATCATCGTTAATGTCGCACTCGATCAAATGGAGATGCTTTAGCGCTGTCATGTGGGGTCGCTCGATGTGGTCAAAACCTTTTTCGTCTAGCTTCGCTCGTCGAATGGTCAGAGTCTCAAGAGTCGGGTGAGCGAATATGTGAATGTTTTCGCGGAGGTCCCAGTATGCATCATTGGCGCATTGGTAGAATAGCGAACATGTCTTCAAACAGGTGAGATCGAACGGACCATTGAACAAGGTGCCAATGCCATGCAGCAACACATCTGGTACTGAGATGTCCAACTTTTCCAAATTCGACATGATAGACAATGTCCGTGAAAGGCTGTCTGATCGCTTGGGGTCGAGATACGAGCCATGTACTGGTGCATCGAGGGCCAGTTGCGACAGTTCCGAGGATGGGTATGAGAGCTTGATTTCGTGAATAGCAGAGCCACGACGGGGTCGCCGACTCAGCGACTCGCTAAAGGTGAGATGCAGCTCTGGCGAATCGAAAAGAATACTCTTGTAGAGAATGGCATCACTGAGGCGATGACATTTCTTGTTGACGCGCGACACATTACAGAGGTCGCGCCTGGCATTGCGACCCACGGCTTCGAAGATTTGGAGCAAGATTTCCTCGGGCAAGTTACTCAAATGATCACGGGGAGCGCTAGCACTCCCCTTGTCGCCGTTGGTTATGGGATTTGACATTGGTGTGGTGTTAATATTGGAGATCCAACGACCTATGGCCGAAAGGTACTTTGTAGACTTGAGTCGCGAACACGTGGAGATGGCCTGATAAGGTGGGATGCGGGGAAGGCAGGTGTGGAGATCCCAGCCTTGTACCAGGTACAATAGGTCGATACAGAGTAAGCCGCGCTGTCGGTGCACGTATATAGATATGCTGTAAGATAGCCAAAATGCGCTGTGGCGAATGAGATTTTGTAGAGGACAAGTGACAGGTTGTGACCCTTGAGGTGTGGAAGAAGGGTGCGCGCGGCTGCTGCCGCCACATGTGGCTTGGTACTGATGATCTCATCCCGCAAATGTAACGTCTCAGTCTCAGCTCAACGCCACAAACGGTTGGTGCTGTATACATGTTCACATTTGAAGGTGCAAGCATCGTCCAGCAAACAGTGATGCTTTAAGTTTCTACAAACTCTATTATTACATACCTTTCTAGAAGCGGAACCCATCTCCAAAACCATGAACATTGCTTCTGCCCAACCAACTGGGCAATGAACGAGCAGTCTTACCAAGGGCACATTAGCGGTATATGAGTCGTCGCAGCTGGGTGCCTCCCTGCTTTAGCACACTTGGGACACTTCCTTACAATCTGCATCACACGGCAATCTTTGCGGCTGTGACTGTCATGTCCGCACCTCGAACAATAGTGCTCGTTACCCCATAACGGTTGATTACATTGGCTGTGCAGCATTACAACGTTGACGACCGACTGAATCGGCTGCTCCGCCAGTGGTATTTTTGAGAGCATAACCATTTGTACAGAAGTGATGAAGGAATATGCAGCCCAGTCGGCAGCGCTCCGGAATTCAGGAAAGTCAATCTTAAGATCGGTAGCGAGTTGCCCCAATGTGAAAGTCTTGTCGCGCCAGCCAAAGCTTGTTTCGCAAGCAATTCGTTGCGTGTTTATCATTGATACAATATTCTCTCCAGTTATTTGTTCAAGACCGAGAGCATTGAGTAGTGAATGCCGCTGCCATGAGCCATCCTGTAGAATGACAATGGGACAGGCACCTGGGACTAGATACTTTTTTGAAACAGAACAATACTCATTTCTCGATAGCAGGGGCTCGACAGGTTGTCGTAAGAAATCTTCTAGCACAACTTTGGCTTCTTTCCCGTCTACATACCGTGTGCGCCCAAAGCGGGTTTTCTGAGAATCCAGAGGACTTCCTCGGAGATTCACAAGATACGCATTATCCTGCATAATTATGTGATGGTATGATACGTTGCGAATGATATCCAGGCTATGCGGCCCAGGAGATGCAAATTTCTCCTGTATGCCTCGGCGTTTGACAGTGTGTACTCCAATATCCAGCAGTGCACGGCGCTCTCCATACAGCTCGCCACACTGCACCGCAATGAGCACAACGTGTTCAGCAAGTATCGGAGTATTTGGCCTTTCAAATCCCAAGCAGAACTCGAGAACCTCTTTATGACTCATTCCCTGGAAGAAGTGGGCGACATCTTCCATGCGTTCACTGAATTGCGGGTCAGTAATCGACAAGGCCGCCAGTCCTTCGATGGGTGGAGGTGGAATTTGTTCGCCTGTAAATGCACTGTACTCTGGTGGCTGCTTCTTGACAGGCTTTGAAGAACGGAAAAATTTCATGGTGCGTTGTTAACCCAAGGTATGTCTCAGGCTTTTCTTGTATGGTACCTGTTGTTTCGAATGGACCTTTGTTGAGGAAGAATAGGAAAAGAAGTTTTTTGGTCGAGATTATGAGTCGTAAGGTCTTTGTATGCCCAGAAGTGATAGCAAGATAGCAAAGTGAGCGAACTATGGTTATCGAACGCAGCGTAAACCCACTTGGTGAATTCTCACAATTCACTGGTCCATGTGCAGTCTTTGTGCGCTCTGACATTCACTTTTCCGGGTTTCCTTGCAAAACTCGATTCACCTCACGCATTGTAGCCTATCAACCAAATGCATACCGTCATCGCGCGTTTTCCTACCTATTCATGAAGTTTTCCGCTCTCGCGGCTTCTTGAACACAGTTGGAGTGATTCACCCATTGTTGAGGTCAGAGGGGCACGAGGTGTGCACTCCGTATTTGATTGCTGGTTATTGTAATCGATCATCAGCTATGAGAATTTACCACAAAGTATTATAGTAGCTTCACGTTACATAGACTAGAACCAGTTGTTACTATTATCGTGGTCATTAACGTTGTGTCAAGAAGCGCTAGTTTCGTGTTCAAGTATTTAGCAATGATGAACCACTGACCGGATATGTGAACTTGAGATACAGCCTTAGTTGTTAGATATTCGGCTACTCTGATAGGAAGATATCGTACCATCCAGGTAGATATTACCAAGCGATGCATGTTCTTCAATATTAATGAATTGAACTTCACCAACATCTTTTTTGGCATTGTCAATCTATAGTTTTCGGAACTATGGTTCAACAAGAACGGTTCCCACGAGGAGAACGCGATGTCGTTTTATTGTCATATATATAGCATGGATAGAATTACAGTTCCTTGTGTGATTCTTCTAGAGTCTGTGACTAGAACTCATTTGTAGAAAAAAGAGCAGGGTTATGGTAAATGCTTGCGTAGGGCCAACCGCCACGATAGCAAATCTACGCACAACACTCGACTCAGACGCTAAATATTTTTCCAAAACGAACTCATACTTGTAAGTCATAAATTTTGTTATTGAAGCCAATTTCATTGGAAACCCCCCGGCCTTACACTGCTCTCACCGATCCGAGACCCCCGCGCATTAACCCTCACCAACACCTATTTGTTTGCTAAGTTGGCTTCGGCCCGGGCTTGCAGTATCTTGCAACCTCTACTACTTCTTATATTGTTTCCTTCAATATCCCGTTTGTGAGCACAAACTGATAGATGGTGGCTCTTTCCAGTTCCATTCCAGCCTTTTGTCTGGCGTCAGCGCAACTTCCAGGCTTTGGCTTTTACACAAGGTTATATTTATTATAGATCACCATGGAGATTACGCTCACTGTCGACACCGAAATCACTACGTCCTATGATGCCAACGCGACGCCTTTCACAACGGACATTCCTTTTGCAGTATCTGCGCAGCAACAGCAAGACGCCGCCATCAAAGCACTCAAAAACCGCTTTGATCAACTCACAGACTTTGAAGTGTGGCGGCACTGCATTGGGATGAGCCACATCTCTGACATTCCCGATTTTGCACGAGAAGCTGCCGACCACATCATCGTGGTATGTCTGGACTGCGAACACTGGTCCAACAACACGGAAGAGACGACCGAAGTGGGTATCGCTACCTTTTCCCGACAAGACGTTGTGTCGCTTGTGAACGAGGGAGATTTTGGAGATTTTGGAGAGCATTTGATGCAGCAAGTACAATTCTACTTGCTACGGCTGATAGAGACATCGCATCTGCCAAACCAGAACCCACAATCTCGAGGGGTACTTGGCAACCGATTTGGAAAAGGCCGTTTTGTCACCTTTGCCCAAGCACGGCAGATAATGCACGATTTGTTTGTCCAGCCTATCAAGGGCGTTCCTGGATTGGAAGGGAATCATCCCATTGTCGTCCTGGGCCATGATGTTAGCCACGACAAGAAGAATCTGAAGCACAAAGCGATCGATTTTGACATGGACCCTCTTGGCACAGTGGTCCGGTATATTGATACGCAAGTTCTTGCTCGACAGATGCATAGCTGGAACATGCCCCGCAAGGAACAGATTGGGCTGAAGCGACTTGTGGAAAACCTGTCGTTCGAGCATAGTGACCCCCACACCGCGGCCAACGATGCAGGCCGCACATTGATTTGCGCCTTTCAGATTGGGCTTGGTAAACACGCGTGTAGAAACCACCCGAAGTATAGGATGCTTGAAGTCGCCACTGATATCGAGCGGTATAGCGTCACTAACTTCAAATCGATTGGTGGTGTAGAAGAGTACTGTTGGAGATGCGGTCAGCCTGGGCACATGAAGTCCGCTTGCACAGCGACAGGTCTTCACTGTGACGAGTGCAAGTCCAACAAGTGCCAACTCGAACCCGACGAGGAACACATCTCAGCACATTGCATGTGCGTTGCCAATAACAAGGCAGCTCAACGGCGGGAGAGGGATGCATTGGCACGAGAAGAGAAGAAGAGAAATAAAAAGAACAGATATGTTCAACGTGGGAAGCCCTCTTCTGTCGAATACGGTCAACCCCCTTCGCGCGAAAAGTCCTCCTCTGATGACCACAGTCGACCCCATTCGCGCAATAAAGACCATCGCCCTTCATTTTCGCCCAGTCGGGTTATGCACTCTGGGAAGCCAAATGGGCAGGAGGCCACCCACCAAGGCGGCGGGAAACAACCGTGGAAAAACAGCTGGAGGGAACGACCTGGAAATGAATCCAGCAGCAAATTTGGCAAGCGTCGTGGCTCAGGTGGTGGACATTCGTCACGTGATGGGTCAGACTAATCTTCTTAGACAATACGTATAGAAGATCCGAGGTGTTTCGGATAGACCTGCAAAGAGGTGTTGTTTGTTTGGATATCAGCGTTCGAACACTAGATTAGAAGGTTGGCTGTATTTTTAGGCAGCAATAATTAAGATAATGATATGCAAGATGATCAGATGACGGGGTGAGGCTGACTAAGAGATTCGCAAGTGCCTGCGTCATCGGTGCCTGCAGAAGGTGGAGTTCCCGTCTATCAACAACCAACATGTTTGCGATAGTACAATAGCTCCTCGCATTTTTCGTGTCGGATTACGGGCAAGTTGAGAGCGGTCTCGAGTACCGTTCGCTGCGATCATGATTGATCATACGGTGCCAAAGTACATATTCATCCGGACGTGCATCCTGGGGTTACGCGCTATCACGCCTTTCAGCATATTCTGGGTTTCCTTCAGTATCGCCGAGCCTCCCCATACGGCCTTTCGTCGATTTTTGCTAACATGGAGCGCCATCGAGACGGCATTTTGGCTCTTTGTGTACATACCCCGCAAGCGCACGCTTCAGGCATCAGCACAACATCCCCCGCTACTCCCACAGGAAGACAGGAAGGAACTTTTCTGGCGATGCTGGGATAAGATTCCTCACCCAGAATATTACATCAGTAGATGGTTTCTGGGCGCCAGGCCTGGAGAGGTGCGACGAGAGAATGTGCGCGAGTTTTTTGCATGGGCGCTATTAAATCGCGGTACCGAAAGCGATGATGAGCGCATGAAGAGGAGGCAGGCGCAACCGGAGCAGAGCCATTCAGAAGACGACGAACTGAATGAGTATGCTGATGGTATTGAAACGATGCTGGGGCGAAAGTTAGCGCCTGGTATGGGCAGCGCAAAGAGCCTGCGCTTGACTATTGACCAGGTGAACATGGCTCACCGACCGTTTCTGTGGTACATGGTATGTACACTGTTATATTGTGCTTATGAGATACTGACCAGGTCAGATTGTAATGCTTGTCGACACCATCACAGCTGTTCGCCTGCGCTATGCTGGCTTCATGCACTTTCGCACCCATATCCGCAACACGTTGGCTGTCTTTCCGCCTCGCCTGGCAAGTCTCACTACACGTAACATTTCGCCCGCTCGAAACCTGAGCTACTGGTACAAGCCACATACCTCGAGAACGCGCTTACCTATCCTCTTTATCCACGGAATTGGTATCGGCCTACACCCATATGTCGAGTTCTTGACCGAGATCAACAAACACGATCCACTTGCAGCTGAGGATGGTCAAGTCGGTGTTATCGCGATTGAACTCATGCCCATTAGCTTCCGCATCACTGAAACTATGCCTGGCAGAGATGAGATGTGCCGTCAGATTGACATGATCCTGGAGCGCCATGGCTTCGACAAAGTAGTCCTTGCTAGCCATTCCTACGGCTCTGTGATCTCCACGCATCTCATTCAAAACCCTACCACCGCTGCAAAAGTTGGGCACATGGTCTTTATCGACCCGGTTACTTTCCTTCTACACCTTCCAGACGTTGCATACAACTTTACAGCGCGTCATCCGCGAGGTGCAAACGAACACCAGCTGTACTACTTTGCGTCAACCGATATGATGGTCGCACATACGTTAGCGCGGCACTTTTTCTGGGCACAGAATATTCTTTGGAAAGAGGATTTACGAGGTCGGGATGTGACTGTGAGCCTTGGTGGACGGGATCTTATTGTCGACACGCAGACTGTTGGCAAGTATTTGAACAACGCCGATCTCAAGAGCGAGGATTATAGTTGGAAAGACTCTGAATGGAAAGGCCATGGTATGGAAACTATATGGTGGCCTACAGTGGACCATGCACAGGTATTCGAAAGAAAAGACGGGAGGGCAAAGCTTGTGCAGGTGTTGAGAGAATATGTGAAGCACAAGGTCGGCGAGGGGGACAATGAGGAGGAGTATCCCTGAACTAGCGCGGTTCAGAAATGTCCACTAATTCCCACCTCTAAGAATTGACCATGGTGACTTTGTAACGTCCAAGACTCTTTTAAAGTTGGGTCTTGAAACCCGTTTGGGGGCCCGTCCGGGCCGAGTCGATCCAATCCGGCCCCGCCAACGCCGAACATGATGCTTTATACAGCCATACAAGCAATGGATCATTTTATGCAGGGCCATTGAGACATTGTTCTAGTCTTTTGTTTTCCAATAAATTTACGAATTGTTCCACACAATGCCTGAAGGAACTTGGATTCTGGGTGATCTCTTCACAAAGGAGTACGGTCACCGCGGCAGCATCCAGAAACTATGGGAACAACGTTGGAAATTTCCCTGCACCAAAGGTGTCTATCCATTCCACGACGGAAAGTTTGAAGATTTTGAGCCCATTTTCAAGCACCTCATCGACAACAACATCAACGATCCTTATGAAGATGCATACACCAACGCCTTTCTACCCACCGCCCAAAGACTAGCCCAAGAAGCCCAAGACATGGAAACCAAAGACAAAGAATCCGCGAAAAAGTTATACCTCAATGCAAACGCCGTCTACAGACTCTCGCGCTTCCCCTACATCGGCACCGACCTTAAAAAACGCGTCTTCGAAGAGCAAAAAAAAGTCTACCTCCGCGGCACCCAACTCTGGGACGAACCCATGCACGACATCCTTATCCCGCACACGCACGCCTCCAACGGCGACGGACCCTCGATCCCCATTTACGTCCGCAAACCCTCCGGCGACGGCCCCTTCCCCACCATCCTCCTCATAACCGGACTCGACGGCCACCGCCCCGACAACACCGAACGCACACAAGAACACCTAAACCGCGGCTGGGCCACCGTCCTGTGCGACATCCCCGGCACAACCGTCGATTGCCCCGCCAACAGACGCGACCCTTTATCCCCTGACCGCCTCTTTAGCAGTATCCTGGATTGGATCGACGCAACCCCTTATCTCGATGCTGCAAAAGTTATGGCGTGGGGACTAAGTGCGGGTGGTTACTATGCCATCAGGCTTGCGCATACGCATCGTACGAGGTTGGTGGGCAGCGTGGGACATGGCGCTGGAACACATCATTATATCGGTCGCGAGTGGCTGGCGCAAGTGGAGAAGCATGAGTACCCTTTTGGTCTCGAAGAGGCGTATCGTCAGAAATACGGGTATGACTCGTTTGAGGAGGTTATGGAGAAGTGTCAGGATGAGTTTAGTCTGGTGAGTGGCAAGGGGGAGGGTGTGGCGGTTGTGGGGGCTGGGATGAGCAGTTGTAGGTTGTTGCTGGTGAATGGGGTGCTTGATGGGTGTATGCCGGTCGAGGATAGTATGTTGCTGGCCGAGTATGGGAGTCCAAAGGAAATGAGATTTTTAAGGGAGAGGCTGCATATGGGGTATCCCGAGGCGAATGCTACGGTTTATCCGTGGATGGAGGGGGTTATGGGGGGTTAGTTTAGTTCTGTTTTGGTGTCACAATGTGAGCAAGATGGAATGAAAAAGCTTTTTTGTAAAAAAAAACAAACTTTGAACAAGTTTTATTTTCATTTTTATCTTTTGAATGCAGGGGAAAACCATGGAATAATCTACACCTCGCTAACCAACTTGAATTTTAATCAAACCAAAAAAAAGGGAGGACCAACTCATGTAACTCTCAAAGTTACAACAACATCCCCATATCCAAAAAAAATCCCCCCACAGTCAAATTGCCAAACAAGAAATTTCGAGACCATCTCCCATGCTTTACCCCTCAAACGGACAATCCACACTATCATGCCCATACGCACCTCTCCCTTTATACCTCTTCGGATCCGTACTCTGCACACACCACTCACACGGCACCGCATTCTGCAACTTCTTCGCCTTCCTCCTCGCGCCCTCGACACACTTCTCCGTCTTATGCGTATGGGATCCGCGCGCCAACTCCGGGTCTGCAGCGCAAAACTCGCAGTGCAGCATTGAGACTTTGCAATGTCGTAGCGTGTGCAGCTCCGAGTCGCATTTTGTGCAGAAGCGGAGTTGGCCGTAGGAAGGGCGGTGCGGGGAGGAGGAGGCGGTGTTGGAGGCGGTTAGGAGGGGTTTGAGGTTTGCGTAGGAGAGGGATGACGGGGTGGGAGAGGAGGAGGGGGCAGAAGGGTGGGTCATTAGGAGGGCGGTGATGAGGGTTGTGACAATGTCATTGCCTGCGTTGTGCAGGTATTGTTCTTGGAGCCTGTAGTGTGCGAGCAGGTTTTTGAGTGAGATCTGGCGGTCTTTGGGGGAGAGGGATTGTTCTATAGCGATGGTTTGTGTGTCGAGGGTTGAGACGATGGTGCCTAGACTTAGGACGTCAATACCGAAGCGCTGCTTCAGCACTTCGTAGTCGTTGTCTACGGCGTGCCCGATGAAAATGACGGGGCGGGGAGAGGTGTGTTCGTCAAGGCGGAGGAAGATAGACCGCAGCATTTCTTGCGCGGTTGAGATGCTTGCAAAGGTGGTGCTTCCAAATTGGAAGTTCTCAGGGTGTCCACTGCAGAAATCTTTGTTGATCAAGTGGGCATGGGGCTTGATACGTACGTGGTGGGTTTCCAGCGCTGCGAGAATGTCCCACGCTGATAATGGGCCTGCTGTACTATTGTCACTGGACTTTGGGATGCTTCGAGGATCGAGAACGCAGACTCCGAGTTCGGTGATGAGGGATGGGTCGTGCTCGTACCATTCTGCGTCTAACCCAACTATGATTGCGTCCTGCAGTGCGAGGGTTGCTGCACTGTTGCTCATACCGAGGGATGTGTTGGTCCCGATAATGCCTTGTAGCCATTGCTGAAAGATCGCAGATTGTGTGAGTCTATTGCTTTGTGTTTCCGCCTCAAGAACATTCTTGAGTTCTCCTGGCGTCATTACGGGAGAGAAAGAAGCCATTTCTTGGTAGTAGTGACTTGGATAGTATATTGTGTTAAACTTCGGTGATATGCGTTTTCGTGGATGTGGGATGAAGGCTGAAATCGGTGTACAGTGGTGTAGCTCTTCATTCCAGAACGGAGAAAGCTTGTTGAGAATTTTTATATAGTCCGTGTTGGACGACATTGTGAGGAGGGTGCTGTGAGGCCAGCATTGTGAATCTGTGTCAGACATATCGGCGCCTTGTTGTTGCTGTCTTTGTGGTATATGTGTGATCACTGTGAGAAACGCTGCTGGTGCGCGCTGTCTCGCTGTCTGTGAAGTGAGAAGATGTCAAAAGTCTGTAAAAGTTGACGGGGGCCAGGGGGTGTTGATATATATTAGTTGGCATTGCGACAAGATAAAAGCGAATGGTACCATTGGCGCTCGTAGTCGAACTTAGTGCTCAACCATGGTACACGACATGGAACACCGAGATATCGCCCTAAGCAACCCCAATCAACACCTGTCAAGAACGCAAAAGTTGGGGACGACCATGGATCGAAGATGAGTAAGTAGCTGCCTAAGAATCAATAGAGGGACGTCAGATGCAGTTGTTTTAAGACATGGCCAACATCCTCTGAAACAACGGTAATCATTTCACAAAACATGGCAAACAAAGCTTATTTTTGAACAAACATTTTGTATTAATTCGGGACTAGGTATAGAGCATGTTGCCACCCGCGACAGCAAACATGTAATCAATCTCATTGCACCTCTTGAACACATGAGTTTGGGGTATATCGTCGTTTTTTTTAGCATTCAACAGTAAAATGTCTAACAAATCACCTCGCATCATTTACATCAATACGAGACATTTAGTGCTTCTCAGCAGTGGCGGTGACACTCTGGCGCCTCTCAATGTCAGCAGCCTGCTCCTCCGTGCCAAGGTGACCAGTGGGCAACAGGTTGAGCGAATCTTCCTGCTTGTCCATGGTGCGGTAGGCAAAGAAGAAAGCAATACCAGTGACGAAAGAGATGATGGCGACACTGCCGTAGTTCCAGGTGATGTGGGGGTCGGCAGTAAGAGGAGTGAAAGCTTGGGCGAGAGCGGCGGAGAAGGCAGTAGTGAAGAGCTGAACGGACTGCACGAGAGACCTCATGTTCTTGGGCGCCTTGGTGAAAGCGTACTCGAGGGTGGTGACCGAGGCGAAAATCTCGGAAATAGCAATGAGGACGTAGACACCGGTAACGGCCCAGACAGAGATGTCGGTGTGGTAGTCGGGGTCGTGAGTCTCGTAGTAGCCAGAGGTCTTGTAGATGTAATGCTGGAGAACGGCGGCCCAGACCATGGCGAAGGCTCCGAGAATGAAACCAGCAGTGATCTTCTTGATGGGGGTGAAGCGGATTCCACGCCTGCGGAGGAAGGGGTACACGATGCTATCCATGATTGGCACCTGAGGTTAGGTTAGTAACATTTTTGCAATTAGTAGCGCCGAATCAACTTACAATGATGATAATGGCAATGGGGTCAAGGTTGGAGAGAATGTCATTGGGGACACCACCGAGCTTCATGGTCGCGCACATTTGGGTGAGATTAGAGTCCATCTGGCGGTAGGCAAGCCAAAAGATGGGGACCCAGAAGAAGACAGAGCAAGCGGCGAATCCACGAGCAACCTCATCGACCCAGGCGTCATCAAAGTTGTACCAGCTGGGCTTGTTGGCGCCAAGAGTCGAAGGCTTGACGGCGTTCCACATGTTGCCGTTGTTCCAGTTCTTCCAGGTTGTGAGGGGGTTAGCGGCCATGCCACCACCGAGAGCCTTGAAGAGAAGCTTGAAAGCAGGGCCCATGACGTTGCCGCTCGGGGGACGGAGGATGTAGAACTTCTTGCAGAAGATCAGAACGGGGAGGGCAATGACGAACATGACGGTGGGGATCAAGTAAGCCAACCAGAAACCAACGTATCGCTCGGCGTAAACCATGCTGATCTGACCAACGAGCGCACCAATGTTGATGAAGAAGTAGAACCAGTTGTAGATGCGGGTGGTGGTAACGGCAGGGTCAACAATGACGCGAGTGGTGCCACGGGTCTCAACACGCATCTTCTCCTGAGGAATCTGCTCGGCAATGAGGGGAGCAATGTTGGGCTTGAAAGTTCCAGTTCCGAGACCCATGACGATAAGACCGAGAATGAAGACACCGAGAGCAGTGTCGGGGTTCTTGAGGACCGAGGGGGCGGCGGAAGCGACGAGGATAACGTGACCGACTTCAGCAACGAGGACAGAGTAGAGGATGGTCTTGAAACGACCGAGGTAGGTGTCGGCAATCCAGGCACCGAGAAGGGGGCAGACGTAGACCCAGAAGGCGTTGAAGGTAGTCAAGCTGAAGGCAACTTGCTTGCCCATGCCCAGGGCACCAGGCTGGGCCTGCGCATCGTCGGGGTTGGTGGCAGCGCCAGTGGGAGTTGTGAGGGGCTTGGCGATGTAGTTGGAGTAGACGGCAACGGTACCGTAGTAACTCATGCGCTCAACCAATTCGACAAAGGCAATCTGGTCAACTGAGTCAGTGTGGCTCTCACGTGCAGTGGGCGTGAGAAGAAACATACAGTGAAGATCTTCCATGGGATCCTGGCAGGGACACGAGGAAGGGTAGCGAGCTCCTCCTCGGTGGGGAAGTCATCTTCCTCTGAGAGATAGGCATCCTGAAGCGTGGCCTTTCCCTCAGAGTGAAGGTAGGCGGGAGCGCCAACAGTGTGTTGCTCAGGGTGCTGGCGCGTGGGGTCACCCGAGGCGTCAATCAGGGCAGGGTCCAAGCCAACGGCTTGCTGTAGAACGTGTTAGGAGGTCATTGCAAAGGGACTGTTTACTTTTTGAGGGTGGGACGTACGACTTCACCAGCGTCGCCGACAGGCATGGTGGGCGATGGTGGAAGAGAATGACCGGGGATCTGGGCCTGTTTGCGAAGAGCAGCCAATGGCAGCTATATGGATAGTCGCAGTGAGGAAGAGTGAGAGAGAGGAGGCCCTGAAGAAGCAGAAGGTGTGAGAATGGCCGAGTGAAGGTGTATTTAATTAGAGCACGCAAATGATGGGACCAACGTCGTGCTCCCCAGGCTGAGGCCCAATGAGGAAGGCGCGCACGCTGGAGCAAGGATCAGCGGTGTATTGACAGTGTCGCGGTATGTGGCATCAGCACAGCGGGCATTGCCACCGCGGCTGGGACACCCAAGAGGGCAATCGGCGCGTGAGTGAATGGAGCGGCACGAAGCTGTTTTCGCACCGCATCGCCGAGGCGGTACGGCCTACTCAAGCCTCGCCAAGTTGCTAACCACCACTGGCAAGCTGGAGGACAAGAGAGCTTGCCCCGTGCAAGATAACAATTCGCGGTGGCGCCCAGGTGGCATGGCCTTGTTCTTATCTCCTGCCTAAACGAGGGCACCGCTACCCCGCTACCAACCCCCCCAAGCACCGCCCAGATGCGCTACCACCGTCCCATTTGCTTCTCGAGACCCGGCGGATGGGTGTGCGGGCCATGCATGCCCTCGTCGAGGTATCAGGTTGCTGAGGGCCTGAATACGGCTATTTGCGGGTCGCCCTATGGAGCCATCAGGCCAACCAGCCAACCACTGATGTTCGCGGGCCATATCAGCGAACAATGGTGTTGAGATATGCAACAGAAGGCGAAAAAAAGAAGACGCTACAAAGATCGGATAAGACCGACCAGGGGTGTTGTGTGTGTGCCACGGCCGCTCGCCGCCCGCTTAGCCCGGGAGAACAAGATAATGGCTGGAAGCTTGGGGTCTTAGCCAGTACCGCCGACTTGGCCAAGCACACCATCCGCGCTACCATTCGCCCATTCGCCCCCAGACTTGCAGCCGCTCATTAGAGATCCACCGCGTCGTCGCATGTTGGAATATTCTCTGGGCCCCCAAGACCTGGGCGTCGGACAAGGCGTCTCTGGCAAGCCCCTCAGCGCCAGGAACATCGGCGCCCACCGCCCACCCATACGCACACTGACAAGACATGACTGAACCATTGAGGCGTAAGATAAGCTTTGCGATGCGACCGAGGGGGATCCGAGTCGACGACTGATTTTTTTTTCTCCTCCTTCTGTTTTTTAAATCATGTTGATATGGATGCAAGACCAGGTCCGAGTCGGCCAATGGTGTCGCAGTAAGAGCAGTGGGGGGTTGCGCCGACAGCACGGAGCGGGCGTTAGTATTACAATACAATAAACTATGGTGCTTATCCTTTACGAGGGCGGCTGAGGTGCGGCATTCCTTTGGCGTATATTGAGCGTCATGTGTGTGTTGGATTGATAGAGCAAAGGACGGGGATTGGAACGATCGCCATGGTCGGTTGGATAGATTAAGCTCTGGTGCAGGTGCAGGCTAGGCCTCGGCAAGTCTTTGCGCACACGTGAGCTTGGTGTCTGTATGTACTTATTATGTACGTACATATGTATGTGTGTATACGGTAATCTTGGCTATCGCTCGTTACGGGCCCTTTAAATTGCCCGTCCTGGTGGAGAAACGGCGATAGCATGTATCAGCACGCGGGATGACCAAAGTCCGCACGTGTATATATGGGCGTGCAACCCCACCAGCGTGTGCGAGTATGTGTTCTGTTCTGTGTCTGTGTGTGTGTGTATGTTCAGGGCCCGCCCCACGCATGCGCGCAAACCACGGGAGCGCGCCTATTGATACAAGACACACAGCTACCAATGGGCAATCACATGTATACTTTTAGAATAATGGGACCGCTTGCACCTTCCCGACACTGAGGTAGCGGTGGGTTAGGCCAGGCCCCCCACTTGTTCCTCGCTTCGCCTTAGCACGCCTCGACGCCCGTCTCGTATACTCCATCTGTTCAACGGCCGCGGCATAAACGCCGCCACCCGCACCACTCTGCCCTGCAATAAGCAGTGATATCCCTTTGCCTGCCAGCTCCCAAGACCGAGATATCCGTCCCTCAATGCAACCTCATCCATACCCGGTGTAGTATACATACTCAGCGCCAATCACATGACCATCCACTAAGCCAGTCCTTTGTTCTTTCCAAATACACTCGCATTCTGACGCATCAACAATAAGAAACGCCACACTACTGCATAATTGCTACGTCACAGCAAGACAGCTAACAGCCCTAGACACAACGACTTCTCCTCTCCTCTCACACAACCATACTCTTCTCCCTCAACGCCTGCAACCGCTCCGGCGTCACAACACTCAGCGCCATCGCACCCCCAATCACGATCCCCAGCAACAACACAAGCAGCAAGTGCACCGGCTCCAACTTCTCCCTCGCCCCCTCCCTCGCCCGATTCTCAGGCGCATACCTCCCCACCATCTTCTTCAGCGGCGCCACGCCTTCCTTCTCCGCAAACTCGATCCCCCTCTTCATGCCCGGCAGCCCATCAATACTCTTCTGACTCTTCCACGCCCAATACCTATCCATTGACTCTTCCTTGTTCCCTTCCTCGTACTTTTTCTGCTTGGTCGCAAAGTGCTTCTCCAGGATATCCCGGTGGCCCACAAAGTCGTAGTAGGGGACGGAGAAGCCGCACGATGTCCCGCACTGGTGCACGTCGACGACGATGATGCTGCGTGAGCTGAATTCAGACGAGAGCTTGCGGTCTTGCACAAACGCCTCGTACTCTGCAGTTCCGTTTTCCAGCGCCCGTCCTGTGCCCCAGATTCGGACGATTTTGGGGGGTCCCGTGAATGCTGTGAACTATATTTCCAATCAAAGATTTGCTGTTAGAAAGGTAATCACAGCATGTATTGTTGTAATTTGCGACCCCATCTTGTAAGCAAAGCAAATAAACAACGGAGAACTCACCATTACACAAATCCGCCCATTCCCCGGCTCATGCAAATGCGCAGTCGTCTCCACTCCACTCCCAGTCATATCCATGTACCAAAACGTGCGCTCGTCCAGCACCCCAAACTGCTGTCCCTGTCCTCCTTTGGGTGAAATGTTAATATGCCCATTGCCTGCCAGCGGTGCGGTGCCCACGAAGAACACTTGCTGCTCCTGGATCCATGACACGAGACTATCCGGAATTGTTTCGTAAAAGACTCCCATCTTCTTTTTATCTAATATCCTCTTTTGAATTTTTCGACTTTTGGCTTGTGGTGCTGAGAGTTTTGTGTGATGTTCTATCTCGTTGCTTGAATATGATGAGAAAAGAACGATACTAAGACGCGTCAAACTTTAGCCAAAATAAACACCTCTCTGGATGACTCAGTTAGTCTCTCCCACGTCCACATCTCATTACGCCCTGCATTCCATGCACACGCCCCCCCCCCCCTATTCTCAATTCAAACTTTCAAGTACAAAGCATATCCCGCACTTCCGCGGCCGGAACAAAAAAATCCTTACCTCGATCACCAAAGTGTGTTGTAATCTCTGGTCTGTGCTTTGTGCTTGCTCAACAGAAATACCTTCACCTAACGCAATACCTAAATAGTAACCGTAAATACGGGCAAATAAGATGTTTTCGGAATAAAGGCAGATAAAGTAGTGATGCAGGGTGGGGAAAGGAAGGGTAGAATAACAAGGGACGAGGGATTTAGCGGAAAGCGCAAGGGGGGGAGGGGGGGGGTTGGCAAGCTTGACTGTTTTACCCCACTCGGGATGGGAATGCGGGGAGAGGGGGCCGTAGTAAGTATCAATACGGGTATGGTGCGGAGATGTATGGAAAGCGAGAACCATCTTATCAGCGCTATTCGTTGTTTTCTGTGAAAATAAGAGATAGTTCTCGAATGGTATAGGAGTCTATGAGTTGATATGAAAATGTTAAAAAAAAAAACTTTCATACGATACCAAAGTGTCAAAACTGCACAATGGCCATGGTTGAATATAGCCAAAGGCAACATGTTTCAACCAATTCAACCACCCTACACTTACGCCTCCCCCATTCACTACAAAAGAATTCCTAACGTCTATCCCTGCGTGGCGGGACACCCTGTATGTCGGGACGCTTTTTCATCTAGACCTTCGGCGTCGGGCCAGCGCCACTGTATTAAGTTAAGCTCAACGCGCATCTATTTTATAGCTGTAGCCCTCCTAACACGTTAGCATCCGACGAAGGAGAGCGTAGTGTCAGACGCGCTGTAGGCCGATCTGTTACTGCTATTGATCGACCTCCTCTAAATACACCCTTGTCAACGCGCGACGACCCTTCTCTAGTAGTTTCCTAGAAGCTTACTACGTCTTAAAGATTAGGATTGCTCTCTCTAACGATTAATTTAAGCTATAGAACATGCCTTTAAGTAGTTTTTCTGCGTAAATAGTAAGATCGCGAAAACGTATCTGTATAGATATAGCGCTATTACTATACTTAGCGTGTAGTAGCGTATAGTAGCGTGCTTAGATGTCTCTGTATCGTATTGTACTAAAATACACGCTTTGTCTACTTAGGCTCAGCCCTCCCAAAACTGCCTTGCAGCAAGTCACTGCCACGCGCTCAGATTCGCTGCGCCTTATGCGCACATGAAGTTTGCGGCTAAGCACAGCTGAACTCTCACAGCCATGCAGCCTTACATGCTCGTCAACTGCCTGCTCGCAGCCTACTTCATGTTTGTGCGCAACAGAGATGTCCCCTGCTGCCCTGCCCCGCTTACCTCTACCCGAGTCTGCTAGCATTCCAGATAGAGCATGCCAGAACACAATGCGCCCTTTTGAGAGTCCTAGCAGGCGGCGGCTTCGAGCTGACGTCTTTCGGCGACGACCTCGCTCCTCCGTACGCCATCCTCTCGCACGCCTGGACGGACGGTCAAGAAGTTACATACAATGAGCTGTTAGCAGGAATAGGCGCAAACAAGCGCGGCTATGCTAAAATCTGCTTCTGCGGCGAGCGAGCTGCTGCAGACGGCCTCGATTACTTCTAGGTGGACACCTGCTGTATCAGGAATGTCGCCCAGGTTTGAACGCCCTGCAAAACGTGGAGCAATTGGCCGCCAGAACTGATAGTTACTAAGACACCGAACCCGGAGAATCGCACACCGTATCGTTACAGGTTCAAGTTGTTCCTACCTGCTAAAGATGCCTTTTGGTTGAATATGAAGTGACCTAAATTGAGGCCAGAAGATGAATCACAACCAAATCTTCTGCTGTGCAGGTTTGGACAACTACGTAACAAGGCATCCGCAAATATTGAAGTGTGGAACAGAGTGTATTAAAAAGGACTGGATACACAAAAAGGTCAAACTCGTTCTTTCAGCCTAGACTAGCTTTCCTACTGTACAAAGCATAGTCATGAAATTGCGCGCCACACATCAGACTGCAGACTAGGTTACATCAACCTTAGTTGGACTTATCAAGGAGAAAAGATGCTTCAGTGAATCACAAAGCTGTGTAAGGACCAGCCGAGAATACTACGACATTTATGGTCATCTATCGCAACATTCTTACTCCCTCACGAGTCCTTGCTCTCTTTCATGCTCCGCCTCGCGCGTTTGCTCGTCTTTGTGTTTTCATATTCCTCCAGCAATCGTTTCCTCCTTGCTTCCGAGTGCGAAGCTCTGAAGTCCTTCTCTACTTCCATCGCTATCATTCTGTAGAACTTATGAACCGTTGATATGAAGTTCTCATTAATGACCTCATGATGTACCTTGGCATGGTGTCGTATCGCCTCTTCCGGCGAAAATAGAGCATAGCCAGGATAATTTTCGGTCCCGCACCTGCCCACTAGACATCTGAAGAATGGTTCCCCTGGTTGTTCTTCTAGACAGATTTTAGTCAATAGACCGGTCGACTTTTCCCGGAGCGTAGCTTTGAAATCTGCTCCGAAGCTTTCCGCCCAATCAGGCGCTGCAAAGGCAACAGTCATCCCACATGTCGCAAAGCCTTTGCCTAAGGTGAAGCGTAAGACGCTTGCATCGTCAGCCCAGACTTCGCGACCGAATTTATGCCAAGCATGAAGATGACGGATGACATTGCGACGGAAAGTCGTGACACCCCACTCGTGGATCTGGTCCACCAAATGAAGGAGTTTCCAAGCACTTTGTTCATCCGCGATACGGCCGCTCCAAATCCTTTGATATAACTGAGCCATCGATATGCATTAGTGGATTGGCTCACGATGTGATACAGGTGTGATATACGTACATAGACAGTGTCGCTCATACCAGGGTGACCTGCATGTTCTCGCTTGAGACGCGGTCGCCTATAACCCACCATTACATGCCAATGTGCTCCAAATGAAGTGAGCGCAAAAGTTTGGGTGTTTTGGCTCCCCTGAAATTGATAGTCGCGATTTTTTACACATGGTGGACCAGGGATGCGAGCGAGTGCATCCAGCATGTCTAGATAAGCTGCCCCGGCGACACAAGCTTGATGTCGAGCCTCACGAGGATCGCCACTCCAACCTTTCGCTTCGTACACAGCAAATGGAAATACTAGGTCAGCCTCACCACAACGTGGATCTGAAATAAGCCCGCAGTGTCGGTGCAATGCAAGAGCTTGTAGTCTTTCGGCATCCAATTCGTAAGATGCGACAGCATTCTGGTAGTGCTTTGGGCGAAATGTTGCTAGCCCAAACGACGCATCGGGTATTCGCTTTGCAAAGCCAGCTTTTCCAGTCAGCGTGCATGATACTGGATGAACTTCAGGAATTGACGCATAGTACTCGCGCTTGTCCCTAGAGTCACGTTGTAGTTAGCATCACTTTACTCAATATCCGGGGGAATTACAAGACTTACGCAGCCAAAGCTGGATCGTTTCTCATGTGACCGAAAACATCGGCCCACACGTCCGCCTCCCAAGCATACTCGCTCTTGTTCCAGCGCTCATTATCCAAAGTGTGCCGCAAAAGTTGTTTGGCTCTTTCTCGACGGTTTTGTTCCGTAGGACTATCAAACAAAGCGTCTTCAATAGTTGGGATCCACAGATCGTGATCCACGGTCGACCAATGAGGAGAGTAGTAATGTCGGTAGTAGACCCCGCGCGCATTCCAGCCCCACTCACGTCCAAATCTTTCAAAGCTGAGTGGTGGCCAGGCTAGCCCGGGTTGAAGATAACTGTCAAGTTAGCGTGGTTTTGGCTGGGTCGACAACATACGTATCACAGTGAACGAAGGATCGCTCAATCGCGTCTTCGATATCGTCTTTGCTTCTCTCTAGTATGTGCTCCATATCCACGAGCTGCGTTATGACGGAAACGTGTTTGATCTTCACATGTTCCATTCTCTCTGACTTAGGCCATTGCCGTACGACCTTCATCAAAGCAGCCATGCGTTCCTGGTAATCGATCCGATAGTTCTCAACAGTTATGTCGAGAGGGAATTGAGCGTTCGATAGCGCACAAATAGTGTCATCAATTTCGTCTGGATGTCGTCTCCAAGGCCCATCTGAAAATCTCAACACATCAAGTTGCTCTTCCTCGATCTCTTCATTCTCAGTAGTACTCCGAAGTCGAAGAACTGGCGGCTTCGGCGCGGACTCGGGTGGCTCAGGCAAGGACTTGGTTGTCATAGAATCATCCATCATTGCTTTGGACTTAACCATCTAGAAAAGTGACGAAAGTTCACGGGGTAACTATTAGTACATATATCAATTCGAGCACGTGAGCAACAGGGGAAATATGCCAAGCTGATGTGCCGTTGTGGCACGGTGTTTCAAATAGGTAGAGCACAAGGGGCTGAAACAATCAGAGGACGGACGTCACAATTGCTGCTGATATGCATCTCTGAAATAGGCATTGAACAATTAGGGCAATAATATCTATCAACTTCCTGGCCCGCGATAGGCCGAGATGGCATGGCATGCAGCTAAGACCGCAAGATCTGAATTTGGATCAGTGCAAATGTTGCCCCTATCTGATGCACAACCGAAACATAGGATCCATGCCTGTTCAGGAAGGTGGGCGCATGGTATCGCACGCTCTCCAGTGTTTATTGCGAATTTGTAATGATTGATGCGGAGAGATCATTGACGTTTCCAACCTCTTTTATTCACCCCCACGTCTTTCATGCTCTATCACCAGCTACGCAGAGATTAGTATGTAGATTTCATGTTTATGTTGTGCTAAAAGCATAATCCACTCCAGCTTACTTGCGAGTGTCTATGCCGCGCCAAAACCATGATCTGTTAATAGAGGTAAGTCAAGAAAATCGTGTTGTGTTATAGTTGTCGGAGGTCAAGTCTATATACAGGTGAGAGCAAAGAACAAAGTAAGGAAGTGAAACCTGGATCAAACACCTGGGGCAAACACCTATACGGGCTATGAGGAGTATTGTGTCTGACATTGTCGTGGTGGAGTGAATAGTGCGCATGTGCGAAGAATTGAAGGATTGAACTGAGGTTGTATCTTACCGAGGGTGAGGCGCGAGTTGCCATAAGGCAAGAGACACTCAAACCGTAACACAATCTGACCACTCAAAACCCAGTACAGCTTCTTCTAAGCAAATTCGGAGACAAGACCCTTTTTCAGCAGAGTATCTTTCGTTCATTGCATGCATTGATCGTATTAACATTCCTCAGTCGCTGCTGCTGCCGGGAGGATCTGTTGTGCAGCAGATGAAACCACTTGGAACGCTGACAGGATACGCATTTATCACAGAAAGCCAGCAGACTGTGCTAAGATCCAGCAAAAAGAGGCTTTTTGATATGCACCGTCTAGTGCACATGGCGTTGATCTGGTAACTAGAGGGCCATGGTGAGCGGGCGGACTTGGCAGGCACAGCAGCAGCCCGACCCGAAGAACTAGTGCCGTGCGGCGGGCATGAAGGAAAAGAAGTATGGGGCGCGTACCTCCCACACGTGACGTACGTGGCTGGACTCGTTGACGTTGTAGATGGCGCAGTGAGGGCTTCACTCCTAGAAAGCCTAGGCCGGTGCTAGGAGAGTCTAGGGCAGTATGCATCAGCAGAGACGTCCCACCGAAAAGCATCGTCCTTGAGGAAGGAGGTGCTAGGGCGTAAGCATCCACACACGCTGACGAGCATGAGTAACTTGGCGAGAGTGCTGGAAAGCCAAGGCAACTACGAGGAGTCTTTGCGTCTGTATCAGAGGGAATCCACCGGATACGACACCGTCCTTGGAAACGACCATCCAATCACCCTGACCTGTCACCAACATTACGCTGACCTATGCGCGTCGCAAGAGCAGCATAAGCTTGCATGCTCTCCTAATACGCTATAGAGCGGTGCAGAAATATCTACGAGGAAGATATCAAGACAGTCACGTGAGTTGGCAGACATTGGCATTAGGAGCTCGAAGTACCAAAGAAGGTGGAGAGATTGCATGTATCGTGACGGCGTTACATGTCAACTTCTCCCTCTCAATATTGCTTGTGTACTCCCTGCTTTAAGCTGTTGAGTTATCAACCTTTCTTTCTATAGTTATAGTTAAGTAACAGCGATATCTTATCGGCTACTATTAGGTAATGCACAATGTCTTCCTTTAACGCTACTATAGAATTCAAGGCGCAGCTTAATGGCCCTTAATGCTATACTCAGTGACCATTCAACCTCTTGTCTGGCTAGTGGGAAGATGAGTGATATCATGTGTCTCCTGTTATGACAGATTCAGCATTCTGTCCGCTAGCCGTCTAGGGAGAACGCTAACAGCTATTTTTGGGAGGTGAGCACTAGTTGGGCAAAGCGCACATTTCAGTATAATACGATACAGAGACATCTAAGCACGCTACTACAAACTACTATACGCTGAATATAGCGATAGCGTTATATCTGTATAGACACGCTCTAGCGATCTTACTATTTACGCAAAGAAACTACTAGAAAATAAATTTCTTATATTAAGTTAACGTTTAGAGTCTACGACCTTAATCTCTAAGATCTAGGCTCTCTTATTAGGCTTCTAAATTATAAACAGAGATTAATCGTTGCAAGTTAACAGAGAGGTTTCTAGAAGAGATTAATTAATGTTAGGAATAGATTAGCCTATAGCATATCTAATACTTTACTCTTCTCTATCGGAGCCTTATTTATTAAGAGAGCTGCTGCAGCAGAATTAATGCGCGCTGAGCTTGACTTTGTGTAGTAGCGCTGGGCTGAGGCCGAAGGTCCGGACGAAAAAGCGTCCCGTCACACAGGGTGTCCCGCTACGCAGGGACGGACGTTAGTTTTATCCAAAAAACCACCCTTCGCCGTTCATTGACTAACCCTCAAACTCCAATCCCACCACTACCACCCTCTCATTTCCGCGGCAACTCCCTAAACACCTCTTTGAAAATCTTCTTACTATTGTATAGATTGACCAGCCTCAACCGCTCGTTGTCTAAATGTGCACTGTCACTTGCCTGACCGCACGGAAGATGCGCAGCAGGCGCATTGAATTCCTTCTCCAGGAACCGGATGCTGGGGATGGAGCCACCCTCGCGAATATAAAGGGGCTTGCGTGGAACAAATTCCTCCTCTGTCGGATCTGGTGTCGAAGCGTCAGAGCCTTGGTCGATTGCAGTGGCAAGAGATGGATCTGAAGAATTGGCTAGCGTGTTGGATGTTGTGGGCACAGCGGATTTCTTAGCAGCAGCGCTGGCTTCTGTTACACTCTTTGAATTCGCTGAAAAGTAGTCCGAGGCCTTTGCAGCCGACATGCTCTCTCTCCTTTGGCCCAGTCGTGGGCCCCACACCGACATGATGGCGCGTTCGAGCGTCTGAAATATTTCGTTGCCAAAGTCGCCCAGCCATGGCTCAGCTTGGTGATCAATGGTAACCTTGAGTTCGTTCTTCGAGTCGAGTTGCTCAAACTCATCTTGTAGAAACGACTTCAGTGCCTTGGCTACATCCCCGGCTTCTTGGTTAGGTACTAGACGGATAGACAGAGCTGCCTTTGCAAGATGCGGGATAATGGTCGAGTTGTCTGGGCCCGATGTCTGGAAGCGATGTATAGTAAGCGATGCTTCACGCCATCTTCGCATCAGTGACTGTGCCAATTCATCTGCATCGCCTAGGCCAGGGTTGCAGCGCAAGAGCGTATTAGTGATCTCAGTGTACAGCTCCCTCTCATCATCGGCCAGAGGCAAGATGGGATCGTAGAAACCAGGAATCTGGACCTTGCCATGTCGAGCAGTCAATTTTGAAAGCAGCATGACGAGATCCTTGAGCGGCTCATCCAGTAGTGCGCTGCCGTCAACACCGCTGTGTAGGTCCGGGTGCTTACTTTCAATCTGCACAGTAGCGTGAATTACGCCTCGCAGTCCATACGTCAGACATGGTACATGGTCATCGAGCCAGTAGCTGTTTGCTAGGAGAATCCAGTCAACGTCACCGATGAGGTCTTTTCTAGCCCGTACGGCCTTTTCAAAGCCACGAGAGCCGCTTTCCTCTTCACCTTCGATGAGAAAGATGATGTCAGAATCCAAGCTCTGTTCATTGGCCAATTCATGTGCGGCATAGATGGCAGCCATAATAGGGCCCTTGTTATCGGACGCGCCACGGCCATACAAGTAGCCCCCTTCTCCTGTAAGAGTGAAGGGATCATGCTTCCACTTGCGCTGCTCGTTTTCTGCAGGTATGACATCGTAGTGGCCGTAAAACAAAATCTTCTTTCGCGATGCAGCGGTGGCGGGGTTACCACGGAACTTGGCAAATACTATTGGGTTGTAGTCGGAAGTGTTGATCATCTCGGTTACGGCACCGAAATTCTGAAAAACCGACCTAAGGTAGGATGCACCTCGGCGGCAGTCCGCACGATACTTGGGCAGCGACGATACGGTCCGAAACGAGACGAATTGACTCAAAGACTCCACCATGAGATCTGCACAACACATTAGAAGTGCGGGTTGACGAATGCCAGCGTGTACGCACCATTATTGCTTCTTCTCGTAGTGGCATCCGGCTCCGCGCAATCCTTGACTTCCCATACGACGACGGTGTTGTCATTGCCGCCCGTGACCAGTATTGACTTGTCTGCATAGCGTGTGAAGGCTGATGCGAGGATCAAGCCGTCGTGTGCTTGAAAAGTCGTAATCGTCTCATAATGCTCGTTGAATTTCTGAGCACGTCAGATTGGCCCGCTCAAGCCCGCTAATACCAAAACTCACCTGCATAGCACCAGTCTTACCACCGGCATACAAGACACCGGAGCCTAACGACAACGTATGCACGTCGCCAGTGCTCGCCTTTAGGCTTCGCACTAGTTGCCTGGTTTCTAGGTCCCACACGTTGACTTCGCCATCGAAGCGTCCGCTGTACAGGAAAGACCCTTCTCTAGCCAGGGACAGGATTGATTCGCCCTCTTCTCTCCCGTCTTCGAGCGTGCAGATGGCTGATATGCTGCCCCGCTGTGATGGATCTATTCTCCATAATAGGATGCGTCCGTCTCCGCCTCCGGAGACTAGCACTTCTTCCGATGGTGCTTCGGGCAGTATGCCGCTCCCCACGAGCATGCAGTGTACGTATCCATAGTGGGCAAACTGACAAATGTCGTGACTGTCGATCTGCAGTTCTTGTCCACCCGCTGCATCTCGCGGCCTTGTGTCTGCACCAGCAGGCCTTGGTGTTTGGGCACCGCCGGGTCCGAGTGAGTCAAAGAATCTGTTCTTGCGCTCGGTCGGGCGCGAAGAGAGGCTAGGCGTGGGCCGGGTATCCTTTTCCTTCAAGTCATACCACTGTATGCTTGTGTTTTGGGCGCCAAGGTATACAGTATGGTGTTGGGATGAGTAGGCGACACAGAAAATATCGCCAATGTCGTAGGGAGACCAGAGGGCATAGAGATGCTTGAAAGTCGACGTGCACCAGACCTGGCGAGTTAGTACACACACTCAGTCAGCGGAGGTAATCACTGACATTGACAATTGGGTCTGCCGCACTCGAAAAGAGCCATTTGCGGTCTTGCGACAGGCACAGGCCAAGCACGCTACCCTTGTGTCCATGTATGACTCTACGAAGCTCGTAGGTATCGAGGCTGTAAACCTAATACGCCATCAGATGCAAGAAAGTGCAATTTGTTCTACTACCCGTACCAATATCTCTCCGCCCTGTGTACCGGCAAAGATGTATTGCGAGGACAGTGCTAGTGCCAGGATAGACTTGTCGTGCTTCATGCGATGGGAGAGCGCGGGCGTTCGATCCATGAACGGGAGTGGGTGGTCCGGGTCTGTTGTGCCCATGGTGCCCATGGCGGTATCATTGTGCGGAGGGACTGCTGTGGGCATGGTCAGCCTGGCTCCAAAGTGCACCCTTGGTGTTGTTCCTGCATGGTCGCGTGTGATGGTTTGAGCGGGCGAGGGAGCGAGCGAAGCGATGACGGAGCTCTAGGGTCTAGGTGCGCCGCCTGCGGGGCTGTCCCATTGACTACGTGCCTAGCACACCACACCTCGACCACGGTCACGCGTCTTACGTACCTCTCAATTCCAAAAACTTCCTCCTGCCCTCTTCTGCGGTAATGGTCCGCGAAAAGGTACACATTGTGTTTCTGCCAGTCGAGCTGCAGCCTGAAATGAGATGCAAAGGGAAAATGGTATGAGCAGAAGTGTCTGTGCTATGCGAAGACGTACTCCCGGTCAAGGTATGTGAACAAGGAGATAGTGGCTCGTCGTCTTCGAGTACATCGTCGAGTGTCGTGTCGGAGAACGTCTCATCGTCTCTCGACGTCGACGAAGTCGCAGGAGAGCTCAGGCACTGTTGCTCACACATGGTATCAGCGTCACCGCTCGTACATGGCGAGCGATGACCCTGAGATGGCGCCATCTTTGGGCTTGAAGGGTGTATCAGGACCAAGTGACGAGGTAGCTTAGCCCCTTTATCGCTGGTTTCTTTTGCTTGATTACCTTGCATGACTACGGCAGTGTGATGAGAAGAAAGCTACTGATGCTCACGGCGATGTGCAGTCCATATGTGCGTGTATGGGAATGTCTCCCCTTCCATTGGGAGCATTCTGTCTACGCTACAACCAGCGCTTGGCCATCACTCAGGGCTAGCAGTGCATTGCATAAATGTGGTCTGCTTGACCGTTTGCGAAGCCGGATACGTGTTCGCATTGCGGAGAGCCAGCTCCGGAGTTACAGTCATGGCAGACGCAGCAGTCACAGCGACGACGGCTTTGGGCCCGGCTTCCGTTTGGCCAGTGCTATTCAAAAAAGACGTGGAAGAGGGTCGCTAGGGCACATAGCCGTATGCCGACGCATACTTAAAGGAGCGGGTGTGTTCCGTTAGCCATTGCAAACGTTAAGAATGGAGTGGTGATCGTCGGTCGACGGTGTGAAGTCGTGTTCTGCCCCCAGCCGACAGAAGAGTCACGATACCGACATTCCGATAGCAAAGGCCATGGCCAGTGCGCCGGACGATTCGATCCATACGTAGGTGGAAAGCTAAGCTGGCTGGTGTTACCGGTGAATATATGAAAAAGCAGCATGAGAGTCGGTGGGCGTGGGATGACGACGAGGAGCCGTGAGCAGCTTCAAGCCACAATGATGGCACACTTTACGGCGGCAGCAGCCGCCGCTGATGTTGCGGAGAAAAGAGGAAAAAAGAGAAGAGGAAAAATGAAAGGGCATGACCACGTCTTACGCAGCCTTGCATGCTGTTGCAATTATTGGGTGGTACGTAGTCAAAGCGAGAGACAGGCAGCAGAAGCAGAGAGAAGGGCTTGGCACTGGCCGCTGGCAGTCCAGACCCTTCGGAAAGCGACAGTCTCGGTGAGTCAAGGGGGCACCGCCACAGCATGCGCCACAGTTTGCGCCACGGCAGGCGCGGTTCTTCAGGTTCTGAACCGGTCAGGGCCATTCGAGGACCACTCCAGGGCCAGCCAAGGGCCGGTCAAGACCAGCATCCCCCGCCCCCCAGCAGCGCGAAGTAGCGAAAAGCAGAATGGAGCGCTGCCAGCTGGTCACGCAAATCCCGCAGCCCCATCCCATCCCATCCCCCCCGGGCGGCAGCTTGGGCATCAACCAGCGTCTGCACCATGGCATCAGCACGCGCAGAAGCTGAGGCAGCACAGAGGGCTAGTCGGCCACTCGCAGCAGCGACACGTTCACCACGTCGGCAGCAAGAAACACAGTGACTGGGCTGCGCACCAATGGCATCCCCCGCCCAAAGGGATCTGATGCAGCGTCTCGCTGCCCGCATATCCGGCCGCCATGGTAGCGCCTCTAGCACCACCCATTGACACGGCGACACGCCTGCCCGCCTTGCCCCTCCTGTACTGGCCGAGACGACACGGCAGTCGCGTGGAGGCCCTTGGATGCATCTCGCTTCCGGCCAGTCTGCGCCCTCGCAGCGGTTCCACTGTCATCATGGCCTGCGTGTCGCAGTTGGCGCAAAATCGCCTCACTCCCGAATCTACCCCCCGACAAGTAATCCCGCCAGAACTGTGACTCGCACTCCCCTTATAGAGCCCGCCACCCGCCCGCGACAAACAGACGGCCCAGGTGGAACCTTGTTGTGGAGTTGCGCCAGCTGCCGTTTCCGCGAGCATTGATCCCTCCTGACCGCCTCACACACCGGAACCACAAGTACAACCACCCTCACCGCAACAACCCCCCTTCTGGTCGCACAAAAACCCAGTCGTCCCGCCCGTTGTGCATACTGCAGGAACAACCTGCCCCTAGTACGTCAGGATGGCCGTAGGACTCGGTGAAACCATTACAGTGATCAACAAGAGCGGCAAGGTGGTGAGCAGTGTAAGTAGTCGACAAATTCAGCTAGCCCCTCTTTTTACCCTACCCTCGCCTACATTACACACTCTACATACCCATACTGACCACTCGCCTTCTAGAGCAAGCACATCTTTGGCGTCTTCAAGGAGGCCAAGGCTGCATACCGCGAGCGCAAGGCTGAAATTAAAGCTGAGCGCGATGCCGCTATCAAGGAGAAGGAACTCTCAAAGAGCATAAATGCTCTGCGCATCGATGACGACACTCGTTCCCAGACTTCGCATCGCTCAAAGGCATCAAAGTCATCCAGGCGCCCTCCTCTAGAGCGTGGCCATACCGATATTCCACGAAGCAGCCGCCATCGCTTCGAAGCTGATCTCAACGGCCAAGACTCACACGGAAAAGAGGTTGCGAGGAGGCATTCCGACCAGCCCCGCGCCAAAGCCGCCTACGTCGACATGGACCTCGCATACGGCGATGTACCCCCACCCCTACCAGACCCGCAGATCGAGGAGCTCGAACTGAAAGAAAAGGCTTCCAAGATCGAAATGCTTCTTGACGAGGCAAACGCCCTCCAGTACACGGCCACCGCCATCATCGAGAACTTACAGAAGAACCCAGAGGCACTAGCCGCCGTCTCGCTTACGCTAGCCGAGATTAGCGCCCTTGTCACCAAAATGGGACCTGGTGTTCTCATGTCGCTCAAGGGCAGCTTTCCTGCAGTCGCTGCACTCCTCCTCAGCCCTCAGTTTATGATTGCTGGAGGTGTTGCCGTGGGCGTTACCATTGTTGCCCTCGGTGGGTACAAGATCATCAAGAAGATCCAAACCCAACCCCAGTACGACCCTCTTGAAGCCCCCGCGCAGCCCATGATTTCTCGTGCCGCTACTGCCCCCGCTGCCATAGAAGAGCCCAGCAACGAGCTGGACGAGCTGCAGCCGCAGGAACTCAGCCGCGTTGAGAAGTGGCGCCGTGGCATCGCTGACATCGAGGCCGAAAGCTGCGGTACCAGCGTCGATGGCGAGTTCATCACCCCCGGAGTATCGCGAGAGCTTTGTGACGCGGGTATTCTTGATGAAGACGACCTCAAGTCGCGCCGCAGCACCAGGTCCAAGAGGACCACCACCAGCGAATCACGACACAAGTCACATCGCAGCAAGTCCAAGCCCTCTGAGTCCAAGTCTGAGTCCAAACGCGCTTCAAGTAAGGTTGGCAAGGACAGCTCGAGCAAAGTTGGAAAAGACAGCTCAAGCAAGGTCGGCAAGGATAGCGCAAGTAAAGTTGGCTCAAGTAAGAGCGGCAAGGAGAGCAGTAGGAAGAAGGAAAAGGAACCATCCGGCTTGAAGATGCTGTTCCGATCCCACACGGTTGCCGCTTAGACGAATCCCACGACCCACACAGTACAATTTCCTTTCTCATCATAGCGCGCGGCGTTCTTCTCAGCCTCTCATCGCAACAGTCAGCATTTAGCGTTTTTGGCTTTCTAGCCTTTGTACACATCTCACACGACGACGCTTCCGCTTCTCAAAGGGTTTCATGAACCCCATCGTTTACTTTGTTGGCTCCAACTGCGAGTCTGCTTTTTATCCGTTTTCCTTTACAATTTTCGGGGCGCAAAACGGAGGAACGAATTAATGCCTTATTTATGATATTTGCTACCTCGAGTTTTCTTTTTTTTTAACTACGAACCGTCCTCTTTTTTCAACGCACCGCGTGTGTTTAATGTAAGCATAACGTTAGTACAAAGACTATCTCAACATTGTTACGTTTATGTCTAGAAATCTGAAATTTGAATTAACGTCTGCTTTGTAAGCGCTGAAACTCGATCTGAACTTGAACATACTTCTGTCTATCCTACTTCGTTCCTTCCCGTGGCGTACCTTGCAGCATAACGAACTATTTAGCGTGCCCGTGGCGTACCTAGCCGAGAGGCTTGATGCACATGGAGAAGTGTGAGGCTAAGATAGGTTTAGAAGTCACTGACTCGTGTAAGTAGTCCTTTGCGCAGGTACGCTTGTCATTGTTTGTGTATTCGCCCTTTTTCGCTTACCGTACCTGTTACTAGTTGCAGAATTGGAATCAGTTCACGGTCCAGTATCACGTGTATAAGGAAACGACTGACATACTTTGTTCTGCTTTATGAGTTTTCTTTCTTTTTTTTCAATGCAGTAAGATTTAACCAATCATGGACAGAGATATGTAGCGTGGCTGGAACTAAGTACAGGATATTATTTAAAAAAAAAACTGTATATATCTATGAAAGAGCAAGATTGAGACAAAATGAACCTCTCATCTCAACGAATCTATCAAACACTCCTCCACTCATACACCGGCAACTGTGACTCATCCGGCTTATCAGCCGGCAACAACTTATACACCTTGCTCTTCGCCACCGCCCACACAATAGCATCCCTCAGCATCATCCCCCACTTCGTCAGCGGAAACGCCATCTGCGGGAATCCCGGCGGCAACGTGCCATCGACCGCCTGCACCGGTCGAAACACCTTTTCATACCTCTTCAACGCCTCGGGCACATCCTCGCTCTTCCGCACTTTACCCAGCTCTCCAGCCAGATAATACGCGCCCTGCACCGCCAGCGTCGTGCCACTCCCAAACGTCGCGTGCGCCGCATCGCCGATCAGCACAGCACGGTGGTTCGTCCACGTAGGCAACTTGACGTACGCCGAACGACTCATGTAGAAATCGTCGCTGCGCTGCATTCCCTGCAGTATCCTTTGGGCCTGCCACCCCGCATCCTTGAAGTAGTGGTTCAGAAACTCTTTTTGGGCCGCCGGGCCCCCTTCCATTGCCTTTTCGGCGGCGGGGTCGCGGTGGCCGTGGGCGCGGGTTGTGACGCCCATGTAGCATCCCACTGTCTTGTCGTTGCGGTGCGGACGCAGCATGAGGACGAGGCCTTTGGGTGCGTTGTACCAGTACCAGTGGTTTGTATCGGATGGTATGCGCGGGATACTGAAGTATGCAATGTACTGGCCGATGAAGTTGTAGCAGTTCTTCTGCGCCTCGTCGCTCAGCACCATGGAGCGAGTCCGCGAGGTGGAGCCGTCGGCGCCGACGATGAGGTCGAAAGAGTCGGTGGCGCCGCTGTGGAATTGCACATTTACTTTGTCGGGGGTTTGCGAGATGCTGGTCACGTGGTCGCCATATTGGTACTGTACGTTTGGCGCATTGCGTGTTGCGTCGAGGAAGATACCGCAGAGATCTGCGCGTAGGATTTCGTACTCGGAGGTGAATGCTTCGCCTTTGCCAAATTCGGCGATGATTTTATTGGAGGAGTTGACGAGGCGGGTGCCTTGTTCGGTTGTGTTGCGTGCGAGTACTTCCTGTAGTAAGTTCATCTTGTCGACTATAGAAATGGCTGACCCGCGTATCTCGATTGATTGGCCTGTTACTCGGGGTGTGGGTGAGCGCTCTAGCACTGTGATGGAAGCATTGAGTCGTGTTCTTGTGAGCCAGTATGCTAGACATGAGCCTGCGATACCGGCGCCGTTGATGAGGACTTTGAGCTGGGGAGGTGTGGATAGTGCCATGTTGTGGGATTGAGAATCTACTTAAAAGACGTGGTTAGAATACGATATTCATTGAGCAGCAGATAAAGTCTTATATACTTCACTAGTACATCGTAGTCTTCTTCAAGGCATCCATATCACGGAGTTCGGGCGTACTCATCCTGCCGTCGCAAATCTTCCTCTACATAGAAAAGGTGCGATTGTGTCCCACACCGCTGCAAAGCTCAGACTTGTTTTGCTGAAGCTTGCTAGGATAAAATGAAATGCATGAAAAAAAATGCATCTCAATATCGTGTTTTCTGCGCTCTGGCTGTGCTGTGCGGAATGTTACAAGTGAGTAAAAGAGACGTACGCTCTTAACCACAAGCCGATCGGTACTTAGAAGTTCCCGTCCCCCAATCGCCCCGCTCCCCAGCACACGGCCATCAGCAGTCCCCGAATCCACCCCACAGGCCAGGCAAATGTGTAACATTTCGATGCTGATGCCCCGGCTACTACGTCATGAAACCTTACTCAATATGATTGGACAATTCCCACCACGCAAGGCCACCCATCAACACCAACAATGACTCCAAACCGTATCTGCACTACACACAACACTTGTTACCACCCCTCACTAGTCCCTCCCATCTGCCCACAACCATGGCCCGCATCCTCATAACCGGCTCCTCAGACGGCCTCGGCCTAGCCGCCGCCCAACGCCTAATCTCCCAAGGCCACACCGTCGTCCTACACGCGCGCAACCCCCAGCGCGCCGCCGACGCCACCACCGCCTGCCCGGGCGCCGAAACAGTCGTAACAGGCGACCTATCCAGCCTCTCGGAAACCAAGGCCCTCGCAACTCAAGTCAACAAACTAGGCCCATTTGACGCCGTAATCCACAACGCAGGCCTCTACCGCGGCCCTGTACGTAAGACCAGCGACGGCATCCCCGCGCTCGCGGCTGTAAATACAATTGCGCCGTATGTTCTTACTTGTCTGATTGAGAAGCCGAAGCGATTGGTTTTCTTGTCGTCGGAAATGCACAAGTATGCTGTGCCGAAGGAGCTGGATGATCCGCTGTGGAAGACGCGGGGGGATGCAGTGTATAGTGAGAACTCGGCGTATTGTGCGAGTAAGCTGCATAATGTCATGTTTGCAAAGGCGTTTGCGCGTAGGTGGCCGGAGGTTAGGAGTAATGCGTTGGATCCGGGGTGGGTGGCTACGAAGATGGGGGGCAGTTCTGCGCCGGAGAGTATTGATGCGGCGGTTGAGAGTTATGTTATGCTTTCGGTAGGGGAGGAGGAGGCGGCGAAGAAGAGTGGATGCTATTTCCATCCTAGTAAGCGGGAGGGGAAGCCGCTGGAGGCTGCGGAGGATGAGAAGGCACAGGATAGGTTGTTGGAGGCTTGTGCGGAGTTTTCTGGTGTTGGGCTGCCGTGATATGTTGATACAATCAATTGGTGATGCATGACTACAAATAGGATTCTGCCAGTACATGTATATATTATTACGCTATCAACTTCATTAGAACCTGATTGGATGCGTACTACATAAGAAATACTAACTACATTGCTTGATAGTTGCACCATCATGCCAGCAAAGGAAATCATCTAAGCACGAAAGAGAACCATTCAGTTACCTCGTCCGACCTCGGGGTCTTCTCCTCATCCCTTCCCTCTGTAACTTCCTGATCGTTTAGTCGAGCGCGCACATAGCGAGTTTCAGTCCTAGCCGCAAGCCTCTTTGCAACTTCGTTGGCTTCAACCAGACTGACCAGTTTTCTCTTTCGACCCTGGCTTTGCTTTGCAGCACTGTCTTTGCAAACTTGCAATAATTTCGCAATGCTGGAGCGATTCTCTTCAGGGCTCTCAACAAAAGATTCTGGGTCCCTTCTAAGTATGCCTTTGGCGTTTGTGCGTCTGTAGTATGATGAACCAAATACTCTCAGATCTGTAGGCCGCTGAGGGAGCGAAAGTGGTGGCGGATTGTTGAAGACTTCTCCTGAAAGATAAGAGTCTTCTGCAATTTCGAATGGGGTGCGTCCCGATGCATTTTCGAAGAAGAGGGTTTCGGGACGTTGGTCCAGCATGATGGGTAGTAATGTGTCTGCACGGTACCTGACTACAGCGTGGACAGGGGTATCTCCATCGCCATTGATGATCCCAAGGTCTTCGCCTTTGCTGAACTCAAGCAACATCTTAAGGGTCTCTTCGTGCCTTTCCTTGTCAAAGTTGTATTCCCGACTCTGTACATTGATATGAACCCAGCGTCCAAGCGGCGTGGCTGCACCGGGTGCGCTCTGGGTTCGCTCGAGGAACAAGCTAGGGATAAGACGAGTATCGATCAAGCCCAGAATCTTACAAAGGACACTGGTTTTCACGTTACAAGCCTGATAAAATTCCAGTATAGAGTGAACAATGTTGTGTCCCTCGTTGTTCCGTGTTGTTTGATCAGCGCCGGCTTCTATAAGGATCTTCGCCATTTCGATACGGTGGAGAGCGAAAGCGAGATGCAGGGGTGTCATACCATCCACTGAACGCTTTTCGAGAGCTTCGGGGTGAGACTTGCACAGTTGCCGGAGCAGGCACGAAGAGTCCTCACTCTTCTGACTCAATACGGCACAATGCAGTAGCAGGTGTGAGTTCCGACTGAGCCATTTGGTAATGGATGCCTCAAGCCCGCCCTTGGTTTTTGCGAGATTCTGAATCCGAATGTCATCACGATGACTATCCGCAAATTGCAGATAACAACGCAACGGAGAATCACTCAAGAACCACTCGACACTCTGCAAGTTTCCAGAGTGAGCTGCACACAGCACCGGTGGATGCTGCATGTCACGAACTTTGCCACCAATGTCTCTCCCAGCGTTTGCCCAATCCGCTCGCTTCTTGCCATGGACAGAGAGCCCTTGGTAGTACTTTGGCTTTATAGGTATCTCAATACCACTCTTTTCGACAAGATCGTTCAGTGGAAATCCTGCTCCAGTGCGTTTGATTATTTTCTCGAGAAGTTGCACTCGACCAAGGCGCATCGCGTACAGGAAGTCGGGTTCGGGAAAAGTGAAGAATTTTGGACTTGTGCCATCGGAGGCAGACGAGTCGAGCCGGGTATACTCTTCGCATTTTGAAATCAAGAACTCGAAAAAATTGGGGTCGTCCAAGAAAATGGCGAACTGGAAAAGATTGCGAGGTTGTCCAATGTCTTTTCTTCGCTGTTCTTGACTTTGGTCGCCACCGGATGTTTCCAGTCTCGGTGAAGGGCTGTCATTTGCGACGAACTCAAACATAGGGCAGTCCCAGTTGACCATCTCCAGGGGTTGTATTGTGCTTTTAACCTGACTTTGTACCTCACCGACATTCTCAATGGTGAATTGGTCGTTCACGATTTCCGAGTATATCTCGATTTCGTCTTGACTGCCATCGGTGCTGCTGTCATCTTCGTCTTCTTGTTGAATTGTGTGCCTAGCCGAGGGCTTTTGATCTGGGCTGTATTGCGCCTGCGCAATCTCCAAGATGACCGTTGCTATGTCATAATGCTTGCGTAGTAAAGCAACAGATAACGGCGAGAAGTCCTCGGAATCCTTGACTGCAATCTGAAGCGGAGTTTGGTTGTTACCCCAGACGGCTAGGGTGAGCTCCTTGATTGTTGCGAGATCGCCCTCCCAGCATGCTTCAAATAGCTTGATGTAAGCTTTCCTTCGCTCCTCAGTCAGATCTGGGAGACGGAAGGTCAGGTTCTGGCTCCATGGCTTTGGCTTTTCTTGGAAGTAATGGAAATAATTAGGTCCTGAAATCTCCGGGCCTACAAGCTCAGGGTGAAGTTCCTCCAAGGTCTTCGCACCACGTTCAACCAAGCAGCGCTCAAGCGCTTCGAACTCTTCGACTAAAGCCTCGACAGCCGCCTTCCTTTCAGCAATGCCCTTTGGCTCTTTCTCGGACTCCACCCATCCTTGATAGTTCTTCAAGTCTTTCTCATACCGAGTCCTAGCGTCTTCAATCTGCTTCCTCGCAACCAAATGAGAGTAAGTGCCGGGTTCGTAGTCTTGGAGGTAATGGGCGTCGTCTTGTAGTGGAATTGGCAGAACTGGAGCATAGTGATTGGTGTTATCCACCCAACCAGTGGAACTTAAATTGCCGTCCACGCCATCGATTTTGCCCATTGTCGTAAACACACGTAGGGACTTGATTCTCTTACGAACCAAGTCCAACAAAGCACCCGCATCACTCTGCAAGTTATCTGGATAATGACTCTTCCTCCAGGCGTTCTCAGAAAGACAATTGATGTCGGCACCGGCATCCACGAGCATTTGGATTACCGAAGGCAGATCGGAGCGGAGAGCAGAGAATACAGGTTGCTCAAACGCTTCCCTAAAGTGCCATAAATTTGTCTCAGTGTCGCGCCTCATGAGAACATTGCTTTTGACAGATGAGATGTATGTATCGAAATCAACCTCAGGTTTGGCCCCGAGCTCTAGTAGTGCCTCAACCGTTTCGGGATCTCTACCTTTTATAGCGGTACTCAAAATGCTCTGTGCATCTGGTTGATATAAACTGTTACTCCAAGAAAGATGGTTGACGGCTCGTTCTGCCGCAGGTCGATTTGATGAAATCATGGTTTTCACTAGATCCTTCCCATACGCAGCAAAGTAGCTTAATGCTGTCATGTGTTCGACGTCTGCTTGCGCTGGTGAGGCACCAAGACTGATGAGTAACTTGGTCATTTCCTTGGCCTTCTCGGGTGGGAGATGCAGTGCGAGGACCAATGGGAGAATTGCAGCCCGCGGCGATTTGTCATGGGAGTTTACAAGCTTGATGGGCAGTAACACATCGGCACCAAAGTCTTGGACGAGCATCTTCACCGTGTGCACATGACCGTTTGCAATGGCAAGATGCAGTGCGGATACCGGTGTGTCCCAGGCCAACACATTAATGTCGTATATGTCGGGCTCACCATCTACGTCTTCCGGTAATGCGTCGTGACTTGACGTTTCCTGGTTCCTGATTTTTACGAAAGAGCCTTCCGTCATCGCCTCGTCATTCTCAGACTCTTCATCAAAAGAATCGTCCTCGTCTTCATCTGTATCGTTTCCCTCTTCCAATCCCGTAGAGACCACATTACTGCCTTCTTTTGGAACTTGCTGTTGGCTCTGCTTAAGAGTCCCCTTTTCCGCTTCCTTTTCTTCATTGGCTTCGCTCCTGGTAAGAAGTGCTCTGGCCATTTCAGTTTCGCCACGCATAGCCGCAAGATGAAGAGCAGTCTTTCCATCAAACAAGCGGGAGACAAGCCGAGCACCTGCATCAATGAGAGCTTGTACAATCTCCAGTGTGGATGTCGTGACTGCCAGATGAAGTGGAGTACGGCCAGTGTAGTCGCGCTGGTTAGGATCAGCACCTTCCTGGCTCAGCCAGTCCCGGACATGTTCAAGATCGCAGTCTACAATCGCGCGACATAGTCTTGCGGTATTGCCAACATAGGCCATATCAGTCCAGTCGTCATCGGTAAGAGGATGGAATGACCCAATAGCCTGGCGTCCCGGGTCATTTTTCATAAAAGACAGATTCCCGGATACATGGATCTTGCCCTCTTCTGCTGCAATTTCCTCTTCTTCAGGCGTGAGTGGCTTGGGACAATAGCCACAACAATCCTCTATAATGTCAGCTGCATTCCCAAAGAATGCAGGATGACGATGCAGTGCAGTCTCTCGGGTTTTTGGCCGATTCCACTCTGCATTGAGTAGCAGGTCCTTCGCGTAGAGCAACCTTTCAATCTTTCGTGCAGAGTATTTTGGCCCATATGGAATAGTAAAGGTATGGTAGTCACTAACTTCGTCAGTCTCCACCCATTCTGCAACATCCTCTTCGTGCATGTCTTTCATGTTCCCCCGCAGCTTTCGTGTAGGCCACCGATCAATCGGCGGTCTGCCACGCTCAGTACGACGCTCGTTGACGTATGCCTCGCGAGCAGTGCTGCTGGGCAGCTGTTCGAGAACCAACAGCCTGGCAAGACCGAACGTTCGCCCAAATGAACGTTCAAACAGCGTCGGGTCAATGCGAGAGCGATCGAGAAGTGGCCAGTAAACTTCAAACCCTCTGCGCGCGTACTTGGAAAGGCGATTCTCGTATGAGGGAGAGCGACGGGTCAAATCGATCGTGTTGACCTGGGTCATGAAGGCAGCCAAAGCACGCGGACTGGCATAGACTTGTTTCCCGTCATACGCAACACAAGAGCAGTCCACATCGAAACCAGTAAGGATCTCAGATATAGACCTATAGATACGTAGAACGATCTGGACATGGCGAGTTGGATACTGAGAAGCGATAGTGATGGCGTTCTTGGTGCGGATCGTAGTCGTCTCAGTCAGGATCGAGTCCTTGATGCGCTGTTCAATCTGCTTGATCTTCTCAACAGCCTGTTCCTCGCTGATTCCATAGAGAAAGAGA